GCTAAATTGTCCCGTAGTGCCCAGGGATGTGCAGGTTAGGGTGGATTGGCTGTGGGAAATGCAGGATTACAGAGATAGGGAAGAGAGTTGAATGCTCTTTGGAGGGTTGGAGTGGACTCAGCGGGCTGAATGGCCTGCTTCCACACTGTAGGGATTCTATGATAAGTTGTTAAAAAGGAGGTAGTTTGGCAGGCACAGAGTTTTGGGATGACCAGTCACAGGCAGTGTGTAACTCTGGCTAGATGAGACCCACACCTGAACTGGACTTGCCACATCAATACCGTGACTACAAGAGCAGATCAGAAACTGCAGTGAGTAACTCACCTCCTGACTTCCCAAAGCCTGACCCCCATAGACAAGACACAAGGTCAGGAGTGTGAGGAATACTCCCCACTTGCCTTAGATGGGGTTAGCTCCAATAACACTTGAGAAGCTCAATAAACAATCTGCTGAATTGGCACCACGCCCACTCCCTCTGCCACTGACGCTCAGTCGCAGCAGTGTGTACCATCTACAAGACACACTGCAGCGACTCCCCAAGGCTCCTTAGACAGCACCTTCCAAATCTGTGACCTCTACCCCCTAGAAGGACATGGGCAGCAGATACATGGGATCACCAGCCCCCTGCAAGTTCCCCTCTGAGCCCCTCACACACCATCCTGACTTGGAAATATTTCAGCCATTCCTTTAGGGTTGCTAGGTCTGTTGCACATCCAGTGTGCTTTTGAGACATCAGATGGCATCTTGAGATGTGATATTCTGGCTAGCAGCCTCATATTTGGTGTGTGTACCACCCTGCTTGTCGTTACTGCATCGGTGTAATCAGTGAGCACAGAACCACAGACTCTGTCTGTACAAGGCTGCGCCCTTACATTTGTGCAAGTATTGGGTGTTCGTTACAAACTTAAAGACATCAGACTCAATAAGAACCCAATCTTCGTGATAAAGCACAGCAGAGTCTAAAGCCTGGAAGTTTCTCCCGAATGACACCGTGGGTGTTCATGCACCACAGGAGACTAGAGTTGTTCAGCAAGGTGGCCCACAGAAAGGGCATTTAGGGACTGATAACAAATACTGGCCCAGTCAGTGACACCCGCAAATGTAAAGAAAAACACATCGGTGAAGAGTAGCAGTCGCGTACTTACACCTCCTCATCAATGTCTCCCTGGTATGCCAGTGGTCCCATACAGATGGAGCAGATATTGTTCATGTGTTGGTAGCAGTCAGTGCAATAAAAACCTAATGTAGAGGGAGCACAGGTTCAGAAAGGCAGCCTGTCTCCTGAGGGTCAGAAGAACTTGGACAGGATGGGTGGGTGTGTCTGTGTCTGTGTCCCCGATTGTCTCATACAATAGACCATACATGAATTGGCCATTTGGCTCTCTCCCACGTCCCCTTCAGACTTCCTCTCACCGACAGAGCCCTCTCTCCCTCGGGAACCTAGTGGGGGTCTCCGGTAGCTCACAGAGCCTGAGGCTCCCAGTTCGATTTGCGATCTGGGACTCGACAGCTTTGCTCACAAAACAATCCAACAGGTCAAATAGCACGCCTACCCTTCCGACACATGCCAACAGCAGGCAGTAAGAGCAGGGGAGAGAGTCGTGGTTGGATCGTGCTATGCCAAGGCTGGCATGGTGGCTCAGTGGTAAGCGCTGCTGCCTCTCAGCACCAGTGACCTGGGTTCATTTCCACACTCGTGCAATTGTCTGTGTGGAGTTTCCATGCTCTCCCTCTCTCTGTATGGCTTTATTGGGTGGTCTGGTTTCCTCCCACAGTCCAAAGATATATAGGTTGGATTGGATTGGCTGTGCTAAATTGTCTATAGGGTCCAGAGCTGTGCAGGTTAGGGTGGATTGGCCATGCTAAATTGTCCCATAGGGCCCAGGGATGTGCGGGTTAGGGTGGATTGGCCGTGCTAAATTGTCCCGTAGTGCCCAGGGACGTGCAGGTTAGGGTGGATTGGCCGTGCTAAATTGCTCCATAGTGCCCAGGGATGTGAAGTTTAAGTGGGTTAGCCATGGGAAATGCGGGGTTACAGGGATAGTGGAGTAGGGTGGGTCGTGGTGGGATGCTGTTCGGAGGGCTAGTGTGGACTCAATGGGCTGAATGGCCTGCTTCCACACTGCAGGGATTCTGTGAGTCTACAGTTAAGCTGCTTGGCAGGTCCCCAAGCTACAGGCTGTGTCAACAAACTGCAGGAAGAGTCAGCCATCACGACAGCACGAGGAAAACCCGTGCTCTGTCTGAAACAGTTAAGTTCTGAGGGCTTCACAATTTGAGAGGAAATCTGAGGCCCCTTCAGCATGCCCCCCCCCCGCCCCAGCCAAACTTGATGACTTTATTTTGGTGGGTGGGTGTAATGGAGGAGAGGGTGAATCAGTCTATGGAGTCAGAGAGTCATACAGCAAGGAAATAGACCCTTTGGCCCAACCAGTCCATGCTGACCATGTTCCCTAACTAAGCCAGTCCCACCTGCCTGCTCCTGGCCCATATCCCTCCAAACCTTTCCTATTCATGTACTTATCCAAATGTCTTTTAAATGTTATAACTGTACCTGCATCCACCACTTCTTCTGGAAGTTCATTCTACACATGAACCACCCACTTTATAAAAAAGGTTGCTCTTGTATCCTTTATTAAATCTTTCTCCTCTCACCTTAAAATTATGCCCCCTAGCTTTGAACTCCCTCACCCTAGGGAAAAGATCCTTGTCATTCACCTTATCTATGTCCCTCATGACATTATAAACTCAATGAGGTCACCCCTCAATCTCTTACGCTTCTAAAAAGGTCCCAGTCTATCCAGTCTGTTTTTATAACTCAAACCCTCCATTCCTGGCAACATCCTGGTTAATCTTTTCTGAACCCTGTCTGGTTTAATAATATCCTTCCTATAACAGGGTGACCAGATCTGGACACAGTACTCCAGAAGAGGCCTCACCAATGTCCTGTATAACCTCAACATGACGTCCCAACTCCTATACTCAAAGGTCTGAGCATTGAAGGCAAGCATGCCAAATGCCTTCTTAACCCCGCTGTCTACCTGTGACGCAAACTTCAAGGAATTATGTTTCTGTACCCCAGGCCACCTAACCTGAAATATTAACTCTGATTTTCCTCCACAGATGCTGACAGAACTACTGAGCTTTTCCAGCAATTTCTGTTTTCACCCCCTAGTTCTCTCTGTTCTCCAACACTAGTCAGGGTCCTACCATTGATTGTATAAGTCCTGCCCTTGTTTGTTTCACTGACATGCAACACCTCGCATTTATCCAAATTAAACTCCGTCTGCCACTCCTCAGCCCGTTGACCCAATCGATCAAGATCTCTTTGTAATCTTAGATAACCTTCTTCACTGTCTATTATACCGCCAATTTTGGTGTCATCCACAAACGTGCTAAACATGCCTCCTATTTTCACGTTCAAATCATTTCTATAAATGACAAACAAAAATGAGTCACAAAAAGTGGCTTGCAGCTGCAGCAAGTAATGAAGACGGCAAATGAAATATTGTCCCTCATTGCTAGAGGGATGGAGTTTACAAACAGAAGGTTATGTCGCAGCTGTATAGGGTGCTGGTGAGGCCACACCTGGAGTACTGTGTACAGTTTTGGTCTCCTTACTTGAAAAAGGATGGACTGGCACTGGAGGGGTGCAGAGGAGATTCACTCGGTTGAATCCTGAAGTTGAGAGGGTCGGCTTATGAGGAGAGATTGAGTAGACTGGGACTATACTCGTTAGAATTTAGACGAATGAGGGTGGATCTTATAGAAATATGTAAAATTACAAAGGGAATAGATGAGATAGAAGCTGGGAGGTTATTTCCACCGGTGGGTGAGATAGAACTAGGGGGTACAGCCTAAACACAAGATGGAGCAGATTTGTCAATTCAAAGGGTTGTGAATCTATAGAATTCCCTGCCCAGTGATGCTACCTGGTTGAATGTTTTTAAGGCAAGGATTTTTGAACAGCAAAGGAATTAAGGGTTGTGGTGAGCGGGCAGGTATGTGGAGCTGAGTCCAAGAAAAAGATCAGCCACAATTGTATTGAATGGTGGAGCTGGCTCGAAGGGGCCAGATGGGTTACTCCTGCTCCTGGTTTTTATGTTCTTATGGGCCCAGCAGCGATCCTTGTGGCCCACCGCTGGTGACAGGCCACCAGTCTGAAAAACAAACCCCCACCCACCCTCTGTCTCCTACCGTCAGGCCAGATTCGAAATTTTGAAACGGAGGACGGATACATTTTTCTTGGGATTAAGGGGCACCAAGTTGGGGTTGCGATGCAGATCAGCCATGATATGATTGGACAAGTCGGAAGGGTTGAGTGGCCTCCTGTTCTAACCCTCTTTCCCCCCTCCCCCGCAAATCATGTCCATTGTCCGCAGAAACTCAACCAATAAACGCATCCCTACCTTTGCAGCTGGGAGTGATGCAGGGTACAAAGTTCTCGTAGTCCTCGTCTTCGGCAATGCGACCACAGGCCATGCAATATTTCTGAGATACTCCAGTGAATGCAGCGATCCAAGCAAAGACCTTGTACCTGGGAAATTCGTTCACAGGGCAGGAGGTCACAAGCCAGTCTATCTGACAGAATGAACCGTAGACAGTCTATGACTCAACACCAGCGGATGAGCAGAATAGATGCAATTTAAGACAGGGATGTGTGAACATAGAACATAGAACAGTACAGCACAGTACAGGCCCTTCGGCCCACGATGTTGTGCCGAACTTTTACCCTAAACCTAAGGTCTATCTATCCTCCACCCCTACCTTATACTATCATCCATATGCCTATCTAATAGCCACTTAAATGCCCCTAATGAGGCCAACTCCACTACCGTCTCCGGCAATGCACTCCACACCCCGACCACTCTCTGAATAAAGAACCTACTTCTGATGTCTCCCCTATATCTACCTCCACTCACTTTAAAACTATGCCCCCTTGTAATAGCTACCTCCACCCTAGGAAAAAGCCTCTGGCTGTCCACTCTATCTATACCTCTGATCATTTGGTACACCTCTATCAAGTCACCTCTCATCCTTGGTTGTTCTAAAGAGAAAAGCCCTAGCTCTCTCAACCTTTCCTCGTAAGACCTTCCCTCCATTCCAGGCAACATCCTGGTAAATCTCCTCTGCACCTTTTCCAACGCTTCCACATCTTTCCTGATGTGAACTGATGCATTTCGGCAGAACGGAGATAAGGGAAGTTGTGAAGTCATGTCAAGGTTATACAGGAGATTGGTGAAGGCCTCTCCTGGAATACTGTGTCCAGTTCTGGTCGCCCAGTCATAGGAAGGATATTATTAAGCTGGGAGAGGGTTCAGAGGAGATTTACCAGGATGTTGCCAGGTACGGAAGGTTTGAGTTATAAAGAAAGGCTGGGACTCTTTTCCCTGGAGCATAGGAGGTTGAGGGGTGACCTTATCAAAGTTTATAAAATCATGAGGGGTATAGATAGAGTTAATGGTAGGTGTCTCTTCCATAGGATGGGAAATTTCAAAACTAGGGGGCACATTTTTAAGGTGAGAGGAGAGAGATTTAAAAAAAGACACAAGGGGTGGATTTTTTACACAGAGGGTGGTTCGCAGGTGGAATGAACTTCCTGAGTAAGTGGTGGATGCGGGTACAGTTAGAACGTTTAAAAGATATTTGGATAAGGACATGAATTGGAAAGGTTTGGAGGGATACAGGCAGGCTGGACTAGCTTAGTTAGGGACTATGGTCAGCATGGACTGGTTGGACCATAGGGTCTGTTTCCATGCTGTGTGAAACAGTTGTGAAGAGTGAACAGTGGTGAAGGGAGGATTCAGTGAACCTTTTTGTTTAAATAATATTGCAACTGCCTCTTTCTTTTAATAATCTCTTCTCATCAGCCTGTTCAGAGATGTTATTACACACCTCTGGAGCAAGTGGGACTTGAACTTGCGCCTCTTGGGGTAGGAGTAGGGACACTACCAATGTGCCAGAACAGGGCCCTTCAAGTGCATTGATATTTTAAGAGGGAGAGAATGCGGTAAATCAGGGGACTATATAAACTGACTGTGCAAGTTGTTATGATGCACACTACCTTAAACCCTCCATAATCTTGACTTTCTCTTCAAAACCAACCTCTTTCGTTGCCCCCTAAAAATTTTTTAAAAAATTATCCTGGGATGCAATGGATTAGCGTTAATTATCCAATGCTAATTGCTTCCGGATCTTGAGCCACTGCAATACTGTTTCTTTGCTTTGGAAACGCCTTAGCTGTTGATAAAGCTGAGTGGGTTTGTGAGGGCCATTTCAGCAGGCAGTTAATTGGTTTGTTTTTTTTTGCCACTTGTACCTAGGTACAGTGAAAAGTTTTATTTTGCGAGCAGTACGGGCAGATCATAGCAAACAAGGACCTACAGATCGTAGGGATAGTAGGAACTGCCGATGCTGGAGTCAGGGATGACACAGTGCAGAGCTGGAGGAACACAGCAGGCCAAGCAGCATCAGAGGAAGCAGGAAAGCTGACGTTTCGGGTTGGTAGATGCACCCATACTTGCTGGAATTTGGAAGATTGAGGGTGGATCTCACAGAAACATATAAAATCCTGATGGGACGGGACAGGCTAGATGCGGGAAGAACGTTCCCGATGTTGGGGAAGTCCAACACTAGGGGGTCACAATCTAAGAATAAAGGGGTAAGCCATTCGGGACTGAGAAGAGGAAGAATTTCTTCACTCAGAGAGCTGTGAACCTGTGGGATTCTCTCTCACAGGACGCCGTTGGGGCCAGTTTGTTAGATATAATCAAGGGGGAGCTGGATGTAACCCTTGCAGCTAAAGGGATCAAGGGGTATGGAGAGAAAGCGGGAGTGGGATACTGAGATTGCATGATCAGCCGTGATCGGAGTGAATGGTAACGCAGGCTCGAAGGGCCAAATGGCCTACTCCTGCATCTGTTTTCTATGTTGATAGAATTTTACCACCCACTGCTCCATCCTGATATTTATGTCCCATACCAGCTTGCCCCAGCCCCCTCTGCATCTCACACATCACCCCCCATCAACATCTTTGTCTCAGAACAAAGCACGCAATTTCATTTCTGATATAGAATCAGGTCGAAATTGCATCAATTCTCAGGTAACAATCAGAGTGACTATAAACTTCTCACCCTCTCCTGAATTGTGAAAAACTTTGCCTCAATTTTACTCCTGGAAAAAATTAGTATGTGTGGCTTCCGTCATTGATGTAGGTGCCGTGGTGGGGCAACCCATAAAACTTTTTTGATGATTTTTTTTTGTGTAAAGGAACAGTGACAATAAATTTCTGTTCTGTTCTATTCTATTCGGTTCTTTCTGATGTTTTAAGAAGGATATGGAGGTACAATCATAAAAGGTTCCAGGAGGAGGCGCCAGACCTCAGAGGTTAGAAGGATCAGAAGGGGCTGAAGAGACTGGGACACTTCATCTCCAAAGAGAAATGTGAGGGGTGGGATCCTTTCGAGGTATCCAAATTTTGGAGTTTGAGGGGGAAGATGGGGCATTCGCTCCTGCGGGGAGTCGGAGGGGAGAGAATGGGGGACTCACACCCATGGGGAGTGTAGGGGGGAAAATGGGGTATTTGCTCCCACGGGAGAGGAGGGGGAAATGGGAGATTCACTCCCATGGGGAGTGGGGGGGAGAAGAGAATGGGGGATTCGCTCCCGCGGAGAGTTGGGGGGGGGTGGAGAATGGGGGACTTGCTCCCGCGGGGAGTGGGGGGGGGGGGTGGAGAATAGAATTGAAGGTAAAGTGATGGCAGAGGGGGAGACGAAGAAATGGTTTGGGGTGTGCTGATGTCGGGTAGATGCACGCGTACTGAAGAGAGGAGCTGAATGGCCTGAGTCTGAGGACAATCCTCGCGGAGTGAACCTTACCTTGCTGCCAGGACGAGGAGGAAGTTAGTGTGCCCTGCGTCGGTGGAATTTTTCTGGACTGCCTGGAAGAGAGCCTTTAGCAGGGACGTGCGTTTGGAGGTGATCTGGTTGTACAGGTAGCAGATCCGTTCCTGACAACAGCAAAGACACAACAGGGTCAAGAGTGAGGAGAATCAGTCACCCGGCTTCCTGTCGGAGGGTCAGTGCTGAGGGTGTGGGCACTGTCGGAGGGTCAGCGCTGAGGGAGCGGGCACTGTCGGAGGGTCAGCGCTGAGGGAGCGGGCACTGTCGGAGGGTCAGCGCTGAGGGAGGGGGCACTGTCGGAGGGTCAGCGCTGAGGGAGGGGGCACTGTCGGAAGGTCAGCGCTGAGGGAGTG